TGGCCCTCGTGGCTCAACATTAGATGAATTTTATAGGAATGTGAAATACTCTACAAGGAAGTCATCCATGTAAAAAAAATAACAAACGTTAAAAGGATATATTATAGAGCTCAATGCATATGTGCACCCTTGGTTTCAGAGTCTATAGAGAAGGAAAAAAGCTGAAACGGAGAAAGTTTAGATGTACACCGGTAACTTCACTCCATGTTCGAAGTCAAACATGTTTGAAGTATCCCTAGATTGCGAGAAGAAATAATAAAGAAAAGAAGCAATCACTTCAGATCAAAGCAATAGCGAAGAGAATAGCAGAGAATGCTGAAACAACAGGCTTAGATGCAGCACCTTCGAAAGCGGAGGCGACAGTTGCAGTAGTTTCACCAGACTCACCAGATGAGCCGGACTCACCAGATGAACCAGATGAGCCGGACTCACCAGATGAACCAGAAGAACCGGACTCGCCAGAAGAACCGGACTCGCCAGAAGAACCGGACTCGCCAGAAGAACCAGACTCGCCAGAAGAACCAGACTCGCCAGAAGAACCGGACTCACCAGAAGAACCGGACTCACCAGAAGAACCGGACTCGCCAGACTCACCAGATGAACCAGACTCAGTGGAAGAACCAGACTCACCAGCTTCAGTGGAAGATGGAGCCTCCAAAGTAACAGTGTTAGTCACCTTAGTGGTCTCGACAGTCTCGGAAACTGAGTAAGTTGTAGTACCGCCGACAACAACCTCAGCGGTCTCAGACTTGGTGATAACAATTTCGTCAACAGCAACACCGTAGCTTTCAACAACAACAGTGGTGGACTCTGAACCACCAACAGTGCTAACAACAGTAACGGTGGTAACAGTTGCCTCAGCACCAGTACCGTGAGTCTCAACAACATCAGTAGTGATGACTGAGCCACCAGTAGCAGTAACAATGGTCTTTGTCTGAGTGACAATAACATCGTAACACTCATCCTCACATACGATGGTCTTGGTGATAGTAGTAGCACCCTCTTCACAAACCTCACATGGGACGGTGACACAAACGATCTTCTCAGTGTAAGTCTTGGTGGTGATGTAGGTCTCTGGGCAGTAGGTGGTGTAAGAAGTAACGACACCGGAAATGGTCTCGGTGACAACAGTGACACCAGTTGGGGCCTCGGTTTCGGAACACTTGTCATCCTCACAGCTTGTGATGGTGATAAGTGTGGTGCTGTCAGCAGTAACAGTGGTGGTCTCAGTAGAAGAGGTTAACGTGATATCTGGTGATTCTGAAGTGGTCTCAGTGGAAGGCTCAGAGGACTCCTCGGAGGATTCTTCGGAGGATTCTTCAGATGACTCCTCAGAGGACTCTTCGGATGATTCTTCAGATGACTCCTCAGAGGACTCTTCAGATGATTCTTCAGAGGATTCCTCAGATGATTCTTCAGAGGACTCCTCAGATGATTCTTCAGATGATTCCTCAGATGATTCTTCAGATGATTCTTCAGATGATTCTTCAGATGATTCTTCAGATGATTCTTCAGATGATTCTTCAGATGATTCTTCAGATGATTCTTCAGTTGATTCTTCAGTTGATTCTTCAGTTGATTCTTCAGTTGATTCCTCAGATGACTCCTCAGAGGAACTTGGAACAGCAGCCTCATTAACCACAGTCAATGACAAGTCGTACTCAAGGACAGCTCTCTTAGCGAGTCTTTCATCTGGAAGCTCAATACGAACGTGGGCAAGGGAAGTCCACTCGTATCCACCAGTGGTATC